TACCGATCACTCATGAGCTCATCACCTCAAACGAGCGTAAACACAGATCTGGCTAGTGTTTCTTTTTTCATAAAATCATTTAAACTCAGGGGATTCAAACTAACCAGACTATAGAAAAAAAATATATAATGTGATTATGTTATGGTGTGGGACTGATGATAGCCCACTCGATTATCCCCACTTCCAAACCTGGAGTAGGTAAAGCAAACAAGGATGAGAAACAGCTGTTCAGAGTTACTCTCTGCTGGGTTTTCAGTGGTCCTTCAAATGATGCGGAGTTTTGCTTAATTTTGATACCCGCTTAATATGACTACACTGGTTGCTCTTGGTAAAGTGACCACCGGATTGATTGACTGATTTCAACGTAAAACTACTTTGCACAGATGTGCACACCAGTTCGAGTTGCCACACTCCTTACACATATATACCACACAAACCAACAGAAGAGAGAGTAAGGAGAGACTTAAACGAGAGACAGCGATAGTAAACAGAAACACGAGGCGAAAAGAATTGTAGTAATATGGAAGAACAATAGAATTTTATTGGATATGTTAAATCACAAAAAGAGTGAATGCATCAGCACCTAGTCATTGAGAACGATTTTCAGCCATATCACCAATTAGTCTCCAGCTGTCATTGGTTCTTTTCATCTCCAGGGACCCCAACTAGTCGGGTAGTCTACAGCTCGAAACGTGGCTGACTGGCTGGCTGTTTGGCTTAAATTAACTGTTATGGATTTCAGGATTTCATCATGAGCTGACATTAGTTAGAGAACCATTGGAAAACCTGGGAGTACTGGACAACTGTTTCGTTAATCTAGTTTGGGACTCTTCAGCAGTACGCACCCACCGGGATTCGAACCCAGGACCTTCCGATTACAAGGCGAGCTCGTATACCATTAAGCCACTGGGACCCGATCCAATGGTACTTTACTTACTTTACTTCGGCTATCTCCTACGGGAGGATAAGCCGGCTTCATGAACCATGAAGTTTCATAGGAATTGGGTGCGAGTGATGTCCCCACCATCGCTCGGCCTTTGTTTGAGAGTGCAGCTCTAGCCTTTACACAACCAAGTGTGACCTACAAGGCAGTAGGAGTGGAGTAGGGAGTCCACTATCCATTGGCAGTCGGTGACCGGAGTCCGGTTCATTCGCCTTTTTGAATGGGGCCAGTCATCCAGGGCATCCAATAAGCCCTTTGGCCATACGTGTGCCGGTGAGCTCCAGTGAGCTTCATACACCAGTCGTTGGAGGTTTGGAATCAGGGTTTAGCCATCTCCCCTAGACTGTCATCCAATGGACAGTCAACCCGGTGAAGAGCGCCGGGCATCCGCTTTTGCCCTCTCACTTCGGTGAAATAAACACCTCCGCCACATGAAGGCAGTGAGTAGGACTTCCTCAGGAGAGGCTATGTAAGACGCCCGGTCATATGGGAGCATTTCAAGAGGTGTGTGGAGGGGTGGCCAGCCCGAAGCGCAAGGCACCCACCCCCGACCATCCTGAGGCTGTAGAGGTCCTTGAATTCTAACTTCTGCTAATTCACGACATAGCGCGACCGCTAGCCAATGTCTTCGGCGAAGGTCCTGGGTTCGAATCCCAGTGGGTGCGTACTGCTGAAGAGTCCCAAACTAGGACGAAACAGCTGTCCAGTACTCCCAGGTTTTCCAATGGTTCTTTAACTAATGTCAGCTCATGATGAAATCCTGAAACCAATCAAATCCCTACAAACCAGCACTTAAATGTTATGGATTTCATTGACACCGATGAAGCCATATCGCGTTTGACGACTACTACTAGCTCTTTTCCAATTTGATCCATCCTGTGTTGGCAAACATCGCCTGTCGAGAAAGGTGATGACTAAGCATGCCTAGCTACTTCAGTCGATCTAACTTCAAAAGCTAATCGATTGACTTTCCATCCTTATCTAAAGCTTGATATCTATCTAGTCTCAGTATTAGTCATTTCATTATACCACCCAACATGGGAGACACTTATGATGATAGATGGTTAGCGTTTCCATATCTTCCGCTTTCAATAGCCATGTCTCACAACTATACAGGAAAATGGAGAGAACTGTTGTACAGTTTACGCGTCCTTTCGTCGATAGCCAGTCGAATATCACATCTAAGGCAGAGATGGCGTAAATTGGCTAATAAAAGCTGAGCGAGCCTGCTGTGTCCGTGAGGTGACTGAATTCGTCAGCCATCAATCCACTGGGAGTGACTGTTGCAACTTTCCAAATATGTGAATTGATCAACTCGCTCTCTAGGAGTGAGTCTATGTAAGTAATCCAGTCGTGCACCACAATCTAACATTTGACAGCAGTAACGAATCTCATGCCAAACATTCGAAGATTGACGCTCCTCATGGTGTGTTCAGAAGACTGGGCTAGATTTTTCAGCGTTTTCACCTAGAAGGATTATATCATTTGCATATTCTAAATCAACGAGATTATTCCCTGATGGTGGTACCAAGTCAATCAGTGAGTCACTGAAGCCCGTCAGGGTTAAGTCGATTAGTGCATCTGTGATGAAGTTGAATAGAAATGGGGATACCGGGCATCCCTGACGGACACCACTTGTTGTCACCACTTCAGATTGCGACTCTCTGTGGTCTGTCACCTGGCTGGCTGGCTGCATGAGTTCTATTAGAGCGAGGGCCTTGATCAGTGAGATTTATTTCCTCGGCGTTCCCTTCACAACCAAACATCTCCATACTACCTCTGTGTTGACGGAATCGAATGTCGCTTTCAGGTCAACAAAACATGACAATTGTAGGGCACTGATAACGGGCAAAATCAATCATACTAAATTTGGAAAGAATCAGTTTTTGTTATGATAGAGAAGATTTGTAGCTCAGGTGGATGATTTTAATGTGGTTGTGTTCTCTGACCTAGCTGGATAGTTAATTTGCAAAGCTTTCATCGACTTACTTGGCGACATCTTCAGCGCATAATTCAAGTTAATGAAGTGAGCTTTTAGATTTCTCCACGAGTTTATTAATCATCTCTCCTGGTGGGTGGCCTTGGATGTGACTGGTTGTTTTTGTGTGCGTTTTCACACCTTCTACCGAGAAGAAAGAAACCTCACACACAAAGGGTCAAAGTTCAAGTCAGTTCCAATACACGTAACCCAGATGGTGTGAAAACACACAAAAACAATCAGTCACGTCCAAGGTCACCAGGAGAGATGATTAATAAACTCGTGGAGAAATCTGAAAGGTTACTTCGATTTAAATTGAAGTATGCACGGGAGATGTCGCCTAGTAGGGCGATGGAAGCTTCGCAAATAAACCATCCAGCTGGCTAGCTCAGAGAACACAATCACATCAAAAGGAATCAGTTTGTTGTTGGAGGAACCCCTGAGTCATCCTTAGTTTAAGAGAGTGTTTATTTACCTGGAACCCTGAATCTCAGAAGATTCGAAATAGCAGTCCAGAGTTGTATTTCTCCTGGAGTCATGAGTGCGTACTTCTGAAGAATGACAAACTAAGATGAAGCAACTGCCTAGTACGTATTTCAGAGGGTCCTTGAATGGTTTATGGTCAAACTTGTAATTATCGTACACTTGAGTTCCTAGTGGAACATAGGGCTCCTCCTCCATCTCCTCTCTGTGTGTATGTCATCCTCGGACTGTTGACCAACTTGTTTTGTGCTTCCAATGTATGTTCCATGGTTCAATGGTCTTATTATTATTATTGTTCCCTTGGGTTCCTTGTGAAACATAGGGCTTCAACTGCACGTCTCCACTTGCCTCTTCTGTCCTGTACTTTTCACCTGCATCAATGTTAGTCCATACTGTTTCAACTCCTCTTCACACGATCTCCTCCATGTTACCCTTGCACTGACGTCCCACTCGCCGCTTCCCTTTCGGCCTGGTTTCACTCGAGCAATGGCCTGACGCGCGCGCGATGTCACCCAGTGGCCTCCTCAGCGAGCGAGTGTCCAATCCATCTCCACTTTCTCCTGCATATTTGTTGTTGGTTGGCGATTGGTTCTCGTTTTGTTTGTTTGTTTGTTCCCATAGTTTCTTGTTAGTGATTCTTTCCGACCCGGTCATCTGATCTTCAGTATAGATCCAGCGAAGACAGTTGTTGGTTGATGAAGGTGTGCAACAGGCTGTTGGAAATATTCTTTGTGACTTGCCCACCACGTTTCTGGTCCGTATAGAAGAGTTGACTGACTTGACGTTTGTGTTGAAAATCCGACCGAATTTTGTTGTTGATGCTGGCTGAGTGACGAAGATTTCCAGATTGGTTTCACGTTGATGAGTGAATGTGTTTCTCGCCTTCCCGATTCTCGCTCGATTTGACATCCTCGTCCGTTCCGACTACCTGTAGTTGAGACAATGCTCCCTAGATAAGTGAATGAACTAACTAACCACTTTCAAATCCTTCCCGTTGATGGTGATTGTCGCTGGATGTTGCTGATGTCGTTGTTGTTGTTGGTTGGTTGTTTGGTCATTTTCATAACATCCGTCTTGTTCATCACCTGGAGTCCTGTCTTCGCTGGCTGCTTCTTCGACCAGTTTGTCGGTCGGTTTTCACTCGCTTGTAAGTCTTCGATTTTGTGTGACATCAAACATCCGCGAAATCCTGGTGTTCTAGGTTCTTCACGTCGGTTGGTCCAGGATATCCCTGTCCCGTTTCTCGTTTCCCACTCACTGTCTGACGACGCATAATCCAGTCAGTTCACCATCACAATTAGGAATATCATTCATTGGTGACAGATAATAAGCACCCTTGTCTGACTCCTTTGTTTACTCCAAACGTCTCGCTGAGTTTTCCGTTGTGGTCAGTTGACATGTGCAGTTGTCTTAAACAGCTGTTGAATAAGGTTGATAAATATTTGGGGGTATATTCAATAGTCTGTGCCTAGCGTGTAATCTCATTGAATCGTCTCTTTATTTATTGTTTGTCGTTTAAATAGTGATATATTAATAACCTGTTATCCATTCCTGTGCTGTTTTCGTCTCTTTTTTTTTCATGGAATGTAAATATAGATGCATGAATCAGCAGCGCATTGTTTAATCGAATTGATTACAGTGCTACGGAATTATTTAATCAATAATCCTTTGAATACAACAGATGGAGTGAATTTCAGTCTTGGCCCCAATAATGCCACTAATGGTGGTGATGGTGGTAGTAGTGATGATCTGTCGGCTGCTGATTCAACAACACCAAAAACTACAAATAATCCTAATTACTTGAATACTACTCAATCGACTAGTAGTATATCTGGATTCCCTGTAAATAATTCATCCATTAGTCATCTACTCGATGATTATATTGATGATGATGATGCGACGTATAAAGCAGCTGAGAATTTATTAAATATTTTAGAAAGGTAAGTTCTTCGCAGTTGTTGTTGTCGCTGTTTTTAAATGGTTACGTAATGTCGCATTGATTTTGTTGTTCCTTTTTTCACTCTTTCCGAGTCTCTGGTCTGGAGTCATTGGACTTCAAACTTTCGAAGGTTTTTTTAAGTTTCAGTAGCATTTGTGCTGCGTGCGTTTTTCTTTGTACAGTGTGTGTGTGTGTGTGTGGCTGCTAGCCTAGCCTCACACCTATCCACCTAACTTTCCACGCTTTATCGGGTGATATCCCGCTATCGACCAAAGGGCATGTGTACTGCTCATCAGTCCGCCCCGTCCTCCTTTATGCCTAGCTGTGAGACCTGACCATTGAGAGTGGAAGACATGAAAAGACCGGCTAGTTGTCTTTGATCATAGGTGCCTGCGTTCTATCTATCTCTCGTGTGAAGTGGTATAATAAGGTGAGCAATAGTGAGGTTAGGCGTAGAGTTCTAGGTAAACAGGGGAAATCAATCGACGAAGTCGTGAAGTGACAAAGACTGAGATGGTTAGGACATGTGTTACGTATGCGTGCCAAGCCATCGCCTCCCTCGACCGAAGAGCAATCTTAGCGGATATAGGGTCAGGCTGGAAAAAAGCTAGCGGCAGTCAAACAAAAACTTGGCCTTACCAGTCAATGAAATCCACAACAGTTGGTCTAAGCCAGTCACGTAGGAAGGTGTAGACTTCCTGACTGACTGGTTGGGGTCCTCGGGACGGTAAAACTCTATGGTTGGAAACAATTGGTGACATGGCTAGCTCAAAATCGTTCTCAGTGGCTAGCTCAGATGCATCCACTCCTTGTGACTTATGATCTCCAATGAAACTGTTTAGTTCTTCGTTATTACTCCTCCTTTGTCTCACCCCTCTGCTCACTGCTTCGATCATGCCTTTCTTGTACTTTCTTCTCTTGCTTGCTTCGCGTGCTACACGGAGGGAGTGTGGCGACTTGAACTGGCGCACATATGTGCAAAGTTCTATGTCGAAAACAGACAGACAGACAGGTGTTTCTCCTCCATTCTCTTCAACACTGGAGTATTGCTACAGTGTGTGTTTGAACTCTTTTAAACAATGTTTGCTCACAGTTTCTTTTGTGGGTAATCGGATTGGGTTATTCCTATTACAGTTGAGTAATTTGTCTGTGTGGTTTGATTTTCTATACACTTGTTTTTTTTTAAATTTCCTGTGTAAGTTCTCTTGATTAAGACACCTAAGAATGGGATTTAGTTGTCTAATTTCTTCTTTTCATAGACAGAAGACCATTAGTTCAACGAAGAGTCTGTTTTCGGCAGCGAATTCAGTTTCACATCTGTAAAATCGCAAGTATATGTCGGTTGTTTTGTATGTGTATGTGTACATTAAATTTGACAAACGAAAATACAGTTAATAAGTTCAGATAAGTTGGATGTTGATATAAGAGGGTAGTAACAAAAGTGATGAGTTGTCACAAACGATTTTTAAAGGAGAGTTACGTAATAACAACGTGAATAGTTTGATGAGAGAGAGAGAAAGAGTTGTACTCAGGGTGTAAATGGAAACAAAATAACACACGGAATTACGCAATAGTTTTAAGTAGTCAGAAAAATAAGCATACAAGCAAAAGTTAAGTCAAATCAACAGATTTGTTAGCATGATAGTAAAAGTGGTTGAATAATTTTCTTTTGTTTGCATAGTGTTCTGTTTTTCCCAACTCAATGGCTAGGGCTTCTGCAGTGCAGAGAAGACAGAAACGTATTGTCTTTAGTAGGTTGTTCTTCACTTTGTAGGTAGACACACACTTTGAAAGAGGAGGCGTTTGTTAAGATGGAATGACCAGTGTTGGTGGCGAGATGTTCGATTATTGCACTCCTTATACGTTGGTCACTACTTTCTTTCTGCAGGCACGGTGGATAGTGTTCTTTCACCTTTTTTTACTGGATGGGTGTCGAAAAACCAATCCACCTGGCTCCACAGCAACAGATGAACTGATATATATATATATTCCGTATTTATACATTTGAAGTCACATAGGTCAGCAGCGGAAAATAAACTGTTCTGATTGGCTGGCGATTTTGTGAGAGTTTAACCTTGAGATAAAAAGCTGTCCAATAAGATTATTTCTTGACCGCAAGGTAAACTATCAAATCCGGATTTTAGTAGACTTAAAACGTTATTTTCGGTAGTGTGTCTGCTTTCCGTCGACCTGCGTTTATATACTACTGACAAATGTTGTCAGTAGTACGTTCCACACGACTTTTTGTTTTATTACTTGATATTTGAGAATGACTATAATCGGAAAAAAACATTTTAATCACACTTCGCACTATTATTATTATTGCTACTTTTGTAAGTATTCAAACTGTTTGTTTCAATTTCCTCACGGGGTAAATATAGTTTCTTAAAAATCATACGTATACGTATACACACGATTGTACAGATTGGCAGTAAATTTCGTGTTAACAGTCTCTTCATCGAATATAAATGTACTTAATTGTAGTTCTTCAGCATGAGGTAATTTTGTGTTGTGTTTTTTACGTTATCAAGTGGTTATTGAATGGGTAAAGAGATAACACAGTCATGCGCTTCAGATTGTTGAATTTGATGAAAGATGATATATATATGAAATTATAAAAACACAGAATGTGTGTGTGTTTACATGATGAAATTGTTTATCGTATTTTGTATTGATGTTATCAATTCATTGGGGGTTGCAGAACCTCGGGTGACGGGGGAGTCGTTGGAACCAGATCAAATGTTGTCGTAATCTCTCGAACCTATACAGACAATTTAGATTCCATGGGTGATTTCATCATGCGCTGATATCAGTTAGAGAACCATCAGAAAACCTTCTGGGAGTGAGTACTAGACAGCCAGCTGTTTTGTCCTAATTTGGGACTCTTCGTCAGTAAGCACTCACCACTAGGGTTCGAACCCGGAACCTTCTGGTTAACAGGGTGAGCTCTTAGACCATTAAGCCACTGGGACCCGATCTAATAGCTAGCCAGCCCATGAATTCCAACTTCTGCCAATTCACGATATAGCGTGAACATTTCGCAGTGTCGTCTTCGATGAGTCACTGACTGACTCATCTCCAACCTGCTGTACCCTACTGGTCACGGCTACCCACTAGAACCACCCCAGGTTACTGCCTGAATAGGGCCAGTCACTAGTGAGCATCAGATTAATTTTCATGTATCCAATCAAACTAAATCCCTATAAAACCAATAATTGAAATTTTGGATTCCACTTAATATTATGTGGACTTCTGAAATGTGAAAAAAAAATTTTCTGATTTTTGAAGTTTTTTTGGATGATTTCGTAAAGACACTGTCTATTGTTGGATTGGACACTAGTGTGATGTGTCTAGTCCTCTCTTTGGTGTAGACTGAATTCTATCAGTCAGGTTTGCGATGTGGTCAAGATTCTAGGTAGCTCGTGATGACGGTGCGTATTGATTTAATAGTATTAGATTGTTGGAGGCGATCTCTCACAGGAAGCCCTACCTCAATCTAGGTTTCTTGCTTGTTGACACTTACCAGTCAGCAAGTCATATTTGCAATCATATTGAAGAAACTTATGCCCCTTCTGATATTCGAGGCTGCGTCATCCAGCGCTGCTTGCAGTCAAAGATGTTACCACTGAGTTATTTGGTCTCGCGACTGACCTGTGGGACTGTAGTGGCTGCATCGGCTTTCTGCCGATTACTTCCAATCATCTACTATCATCAAATCAATGTGTTACGTGATGACGAGCCACCCAGTGGCATGGTGGTAGTCACATTACAAATTTGACTGACTGATGGAATTCACTCTGCACCAAAGAAAGTACTGTGCACATCACGCTGGTTAGTTAATGTTATGTACTGGTCGAGAATTTAATGGTCCTGACGCAAGAAAGACGGAAATCAGAAGACCACTAGGTTTGCGATGATACTTCTATTTCCCAAAACACCAGGAGAATCAAAATGTCACACAAGAGTGTGAGAGCAAAAATATATACGAATGTCCGAACAAGTGTGTGAACACAAGTGTGTAAGCGAATATTCCAAATGAACAAATCAATAGACAATCTTAACATGATTGGCTAATTATAATGGAATATCGATCCATATATACATAGCAAAATATATCAGACTGTCAAACAAACACACATATTATATGGATATATATCACCAAGAACATACTGTCAAACAAACAACGATATTATATGGATATATATCAGTTAATTAGTTACTAGTGTCCAATCGAAGTATCCAATGCAGTCCTACAGAAGGTCAGTTGCGAGGCCGAATAGATGCTCAGTGGTGGTCACCTCTCTGACTGCAGAAAGCACTGGGTGACGCATGTTCGAATGTCAAGTGGGTTATGATTTCCTTCAAGGTAGTTACAGATACGCCTTGCTGACTAACTGGTGAGCGCCAACAACAACAACAACAAGCACGAAACCTAGGTGAGGTGAGGTAGGGCTTCCTGTTGTCGATTACCTCCAACCATCTGATATCGTTGTCTATTGTTTATTGAAGTGAATTTTAGGTTGATTTTCAAGTGTTGGTTACAGGATTGGTCACGAGGTGATATTGATTAGAGAACCAATGGAATACCTAAGGATACAGGACACCTATTTCGTCCTAGTTTTGGGACTTTCCGGCAGTGCCCACCTACTGACACGGCTCGAACCCACTGACTTACTGTTACAGGCCGAGCTCGTAGAATATTCAGTCATAGAAACCTGACCCATTGGTCCATGAATTCCAAATCCTGCCAGTATCCCAGTCGAGTTACTGTCCTCTTATCTGACTTGGTCTTAGAGCCTTGTGGTTACACAACTTCTCACTAGAACCCCAGGTGATTTCCTTTTTAGGACCAGTCACTAGTGCGCACTAGGTTAATTATCCATTGGTTATTTTCAGGGATAGTACTCCCAGATTTTCCAGTGGTCAACTTGTGGGCAATACTATAATTTTTTTATTTTCCTCTCTGCTTGATTAGACTGAAATGTTCAGCCTCTGTTGGAA